TACATTCTCTTAATGAATAGAGAGATTTGTTCTAATGGTGTTTGTAAATAGGATATCAAGTCCACATCTTGTACAGCAATTAACCACTAAGAAGAATGTATGCAGTATGTTAATTATTGAAACTGTCCTACCGATTTGATTTGAAACTGTCTCATTGCTATTTGTTTATCAATAAAATTATGGAAAAAAAGAATGCAAATGTAAAAAAAAATCTACTGTCTTGTATATATGCATCTCATTCCCCTATGTTTTGGTCTTACTGTCTTGAGATCATTTTAATTATTTTAATCTTTATTTTTATTTTTGTGTTTGTTTTTGTAGTACTGGGGATTGAACCCAGGGCCTTTACTCTGAGCTATAGCCCTAGCCCTTTCTATTTTATTAATATATTTTTATTTTGGGACAGGGCCTTGCTAAGTTGCCCACACTGGGCTTGAAATTATGATCCTCTTACTTCAGTCTCCCAAAGTGCCTGAATTATAGGCATGTATGTGCCAATCCTGGTTAGTTTCATGGTTTTCTATTTGACATTTCATCCAGAAGTTTTAGTTTGGCTTTCTATTGGTCCAAAGGTTGAATAACAAACTTTGTATTAATAAATAAGCTTGCTAATAAAACTAAAATCTTGCTACTATTAACTTGCCATTAATAAAAATAGAAATCCTCACTTAGTCATAAACGGATCCCCAAAGTTACAGTTGTCCTACCAGAAGTCTGAGGAAGAATGTAAAAAAGGAAAATGCCATATTTACTTGATTTGGAGATGTTGAGTGACTGTCTTAATGACTTACTTATGACTACAGACTTCAGAACTTTAAACTGCTTCTTCCTAGCACTTCTCACACAGAATTTTTAAAATCTCTATCTGACTGTGCAGCCTGAAACCTTGGGTTTATTCTGGTTGAAGGGTTGATGGTCAGGGGATAAAACTTTTAAGTACACAGATAAATTAGCAAGGGGTTTATTTATCTGGCATGTTTGTTATCTCTTTGGGGAGGTAAAGATTGCAAAGTATGGGGTAGTTTGCATTTCCATGTCTTCCTGATCTTGGTCTAGGGTCCCCTAGTTGACCTACAAAGGATTTAGACTTTGGGATGAGACTACATCTAGACTAGTTGCATGGAATAAAATCCCTTGGTTGATATATTGTTCAAACCATTAGATGTTTTTGAAGATTAGCATTTTCTAAACCTTCTTGTACTTAGCAAAGTTTTTAAAAATTGTGCTAGCATTCAAAAATCAACTCTATTTTTTTTAAAAATATTTTTTATTCTTAGGTAAAGAAGCAAAATAGCTAAAAATGACAAGTAGAAGACTGGAGGAGTCCATGGGGGCTGTTCATATGGGCTTAGTCGAAATGCTCAAAGGATTCCAAAGCAAAGTTTTGCCCCCCATGAGTCCAAAAGTGGTCACAGAAGACGAAGTACATCAAATGGTAATGTATCCCGAATTTCTACACAAAATACTTCATGGAGCCTCCTCAGCACAGAGGCCGGTACTTATTTTAAGAATATTAATCAGTATTAGCAACTAACAAAGATCAAGTTAGTTAGACCACTAGCTTTCTATACGCCGTTAAGCACCTTTCAAAGCCTGAGATGTATTAGAATTGCAGACATATTTCAAAGTAAAGGCATGGCCTGCTTAAATTAATTTGTTGGAGTAAGACTGTATGTCTTAGTCCTAAAAGTGGGTGACTTCTGAAGAAAAGAGGTTCATTTTAGCCCATGGTTCTGAGCCTTGGAAATCTAAAATTGGGTAGCCACACGGGGTGTGGCTTCATATGTCTTCTTACATGGCGCACACAGACCATAGCTCTGTGTAAATAAACTAGTAAGATCTTCTAAATCATAGTTAGAACCATGGGAAATGATCCTTCGTGTAGTTCAGAAACAGTGAAATACCAGAATTTCAGTAGATCCAACCTAATTTATTGCCTGCACATTTGCAAGAGCTATTTTATTTTGTTTGTAGAACACAGAGAACTAAAGTAGTGACTAGCACATAGGAAAACTACATGAATTTTCTGTCTTTAAAAATTATTTATAGCTTTAATGATGTATAATTTATTGAGAACTGAATTATGAACCCCATGGTACAGGAAATATTAATAAAAATTATAGTACTGAGTATAGTATTCACTAAATATTAAAAGCTAATTTCATGTAGCATTCCAACTAGTAAAATAAAATCAATCATTCTCTTTTGTGGTGGCTGTTGGCATGTTATTTGTAGACACTCCTGACTGTTTTCTGTTAGGACTTCATTATTTTAATTTAAGTCACAGTAGAGCTGGTACCTCTTAACACTATTATTGTAATTTATTTTCCAATCAAAAAAAGTTAAAAACAAACTTGGAAGCTATATTATAAATAATGTCTCCATTTAAATGGACTCAGTCACAGAAATCAAATTTGTAGAAAAACAAGCATTCTTAAAGAACACTGATTTTAACCAAAGGCAGAATAAATCAGCTAAATTTCATATCCTGAACTTTTTTTTTTTTTTTTTTCCTGGAACTGGGGATTGAACTCAGGCCCTTGTGCTTGTCAGGGAAGCACTTATTCTACTGAGCCATCTCCCCGCCCCCTATCCTGAACTTTTTATTTTATTTTTTTATTTGGAACCTGGAATTGAACTCAGGGCCTCACACTTTCCAGGCAGTTGCCATGCCATTGAGCTATACTCTGCCCATATGCTAGGCTTTTAAAAAAAATCTTAGTATTACTTTAGTTACTGCCAAGGACCATATCTGCTTATGTACAAAGTAGGAACAATATGAACATTCTGGAACCATGACAACTAAGTACAGTAATGATGGTCTGGTTAACTAATGCCTTAATAGGTTAGTTTCATTTAAATAATAGATTACATTTTCCCTTTAACATTAGAAATTGTTAAAGCATGTTGTGCATCTAGGTAGGTAAATGTGATTGGCCTCTAAAGCTGATGGTTATCATACAGCTCTTTCTAATGTTTAAATGTGCTCTTGTAATTTCTAAAAATTAAAACTGACTTCTAACTAGTATAGTCACACTTCCAAGGTCCTTTACATCTTACAAGATTTCCCTTTGTTATGATTTAACATGATAATTAAATACCCCCAAAGATTTGCTTGCATGTTGTATCTTAAGAAACAAATTTTAGGGCTGGTGAGATAGCTCAGTGGACTAAGCACCTACTTAGGCAAGCACAGCGACCAGAGTTCAATTCCTGGCACCACGTGCCATGCCGGCCCCACTCCTGGGCGTGCTGAGCCTGCAACCGAGTCTGGGCGTGGTGGCGTGGGCCTGTAATCCCAGCGCTGGGGAGGCTGAAAACAGGAGGGTCTCTACAAGTTCAAGCTGCATAGTGAGACCTTGTACACATAAACACACACACACACACACACAAAAAAAAAAACAACCAAAAAAACAAAAATTTTTTTATAATTCCGTAACTCAGTCCCACAAGTGATTTTACAAACTTAGAGTCTTACTCTCAGATACCACTTCTGAGCATAGATACTAAGCTCTTTGAATGTGTGCCTATGCACTTTCTTAATTCTTTTCTCTAGAATTCCTTTGTGTGTTTCCTTCAAAATTACAAGGGAAGGACAACCACATGTCATTTTAAATTACTCAGCAAAGAACTCAAAAGTGCATGGGGACTTCTCTTGTATAATTTAGTTATTTTAAATATTTTATAAGGAAACTTAGTGGCATTCCAGAATTATCCTGAAAGCTGCGATCACGAATTATTCATTACCGACACTTTTGAATGCATTTTCTTCCTATGTAACCACTTACGAATCTTTGGCTTTTGTTGTTTTCAATTCTAGCAGACACCCTCAGAGTTCTTGAAGGAAATGTCCCTCACTACACAGCAGAGACTGGCAAATACACATTTCACGTGCCGGCCACAGATCATAGAACTCTTAGATATGGAGGAAACGACATATCAAAAGGTAGAGCTCAGAATAATATTCCAGAATAATAACTAATTACAGGTATTGCTAGCTAATCCTTGGCTGGGTTCGCTTCACATCCTCCTTTTCTAGCTGTTATCTTGATAGCTGTGTTTTAATGTGGTAAAAATAATAGACAAAAACTATACAAAGTCATCTTTGACCAGTCACACTTATTGTTTAGCTCCTTCTCAGTGCGATTTGACACTGTTGTTTCTGGGTTAGGATGAATTCCAAGAATTATATTAGCTGAGTCCAATTAATTTATCCTCTTAGCATATCGAGAAATCTCTTCTCATTTGACTTGTCCACCAGGAAGGAAGGAAGGAAGGAAGCAAAGTTGTTTATTAAAGTGGGCATTTGTTGTCTATTTTGGCTCAAGAACAAATATTCTTTTCAAGAACAAATATTCTTTTAGTCTAAAAAAACCCCAGCTATTTAACATGATTCTGTATTCAAGTTTAAACCATATGTTCTAGGCTGTAGAAGCCTATGATCATAATAGAAGATCTTGTTTCCTTCTCTTCAACTTAATTTCTTGAATTATATACTTCATTTTCATGCTCAAATTATGACATGAACCTCCATCAGTTGGACTGAGAGAGATTAGCCCCTTTCTGAAGGGCTCTCTAGCTGCTCCTGAGAGTGTATGGCTCATAGGAAACGAGGCCTCAAAGTTCCTTCGCTCTGCTGCTATACCACTGCCTCCTCTTGCCTAGGATCTGCATAAAATTCTTCATCCTAAGCATTGCTAGTTTTAATTATTAATTAAACCTTCACCACTCTCCACATCTAAGCAGGAATGAGCATAACATTTCTTACTGTATAATTGAGTAGCAAGTACTATAAATTTTGCCTTCATAAATGGACCTTTGATCACAGCACTTCTCACTACTTCCCTCACCGATGTTTCAGTCCAGGTCATCATCATGTAGACCGCTGAACAGCCTCCCTGTCTCCATCACAAGCCTCCATTGTCAGTTCTTCCCAAAGCACCAAGAGTGATTACAAATATGCAAGTTAGCAAAAAAAAAAATGCAATTGGAGTGTTTTACTTCCATGTTTAAAACTTCCTATTACTATTTCCCGTGACTTCAGAAAAATTACTTATTCTCAGAAAAATTCTAAATTCAGTGTGCTGAATTCTAAGGTCCTGGGTCCTCTGGTCCTGCCACCCTGTGATGCTCCTTTCCCTTAACTACACATTCCCCTTGCTGCAGTTCCCAAAATGTGTGGCCGGATGCCTTAAGTTTCACATATGAACTCACAAAGCATCATGGGATATTTAGATTTTCAAGGGAAATTCTAATGCCCTAAACCTATTGGATACCACACAAACTACTAGCTTAAAGTGAAGTTCATAGTGTAGATGTGAGATCCTGGTGTATTCCATTATAATACTTTCCAGAGCTGCTTTCCCAGGGGTTGCCTTGCTAGAAAGCAAATACAGTCCCTTGTGAAAATTGAAGTAGAGCAGGAAATGAAAATGCTGTGTCCTTTTCTCTCTGTTGCACGGTGCCCAACTGCTAAACACATCCCTTAGTAAGTTGTTATTATTGTTGTTGCTTTTGTTTATTTCCTTTAGATACTGTTGACAACAGCTTGCAAGTTTATCTTTCTGGGACTGGCTTGATTTGTATGTCATTCTTGAAGGGGATTTTCCAGAGTAGATATCACTGTGTCTAAAGAGTTATTTTTTTCTTTTCTAGATTTAAAAAAAAAATATTCTCCTGCTTCTGACTTATGTTAATTATGCTGAGTAGTCAGCATACTTTTTTTTGTCCTTGCAAGTTATTTTTTTCCCCTTCAGCTTTTTTTGCATAGTTTTTGGCCTTTGTTTTCAGTAGTTTTATAATTAGATACCTACATATGGATCTTTTTAAAATCCTGCTCGAGTTTTTAAGGCCCCCTGAATCTTTGTTCTTGGGACTTCATCACTTACAGAAAATTCTCTGTAATTATTTTATCAATATAAGCTTTTACTTTTTTCTTTTTCTGGGACTCTAATTATACCCACTGTGGGCTTTTTACTGTATTACCTAGATATTTATCTTCTCTTCTGTATTTTCTTTCATTTTAATCATTCTTCCTAGTTTTAAATATTTTTCTAATCTTTATCCCAGTTCAATAATTCTTGCTTCAGTTGTGGCTAATCTGCTATATTAAGGATGTACATGCGATTCTTGATTTCAGTTGTCATAATTTTGAGTTGTAAGATTTACACTAGATTCTTTTTATTATGTCTAGTTCTCTGCCAAAATTCACATTGCTTTTTATTTTCCTATGTAGGGTAGGCATGAATTATACCACTGTTCCAACTGTCTAGTTTATGCTGGTTTTCATTTACAACATGCTATTTTCTTATATTTCTGGTCATTTTGTAATGTGCATCTTTTGTGGTTGAGATACAGCTTTGGAGGTTGTAAAATGTCATAACTGCAAGATTGTAGAAATGATTTGAGTACTGTCACCATTCTCTTTTCTTCCTGAAAGGACAGTTGGCTTTTACCTGATCACCATGAGTACCAGTAGTGTGCAGTGACTTCCTTCCTTCATGCCAAAGGCCTGAGAGACCATCCTTATTCTATGGTGTACCCCTCCTTGGGCCAAAGGGGAGAAAGTTCTTTTAGGATCTTTAATTTTATGATGCCTTGAAATTCAGGTCTCTGTCTCCCTGTATCTGCTGCATGCTCAGACATGCTGCTTGGATCTTAGCTTCCCACTGTAATAAATAGAAGAAAAAAAAAAGTAGCTCAATTTTTAATTTTTCTATTCACTTTCTTCCCCTATTTATCTTTTTTTCTCCTGCAGCATGACCAGTAATATGTTTTTTTTACTGTCTTGTTAATGCTCCAGTGCTGCTAAGGAGGTATTTGTGGAATTTTTCGTTTGTTTAATCTTTGTCTTTGTAGTGTTAGGGATCAAATTTAGGGCCTTGTGCATGTTAGGTAAGTGCTCTGCCACGGAGCCACATTCCCAGGCCCCAATATAGGTTGATACAACTTTCCTAATTATCCTCATAGGGGAATAGGCTCAACTGACTTCATTTATTACTAATGGAAGAGAAAGTCCAGGGATGGTTTTCATAGTTTCTTATTTTCTTTTTAACTGAGGACTTTTTTTTTTCTTTCTTTCTTTGGTGTTGAATAAGTTGATCACAGGAAACTCACTAATTATAACTACTAATGTTTATATTAGTTTCCCCTGTTATGAGTGTTTCTCATGTTCTGGTTTTACAGCTAATGAGTGATATAAATAATTTACTCTTTTAATTGAAGTTTTCAGCAGTTGACTTGGACCAGGCATTATTCCAGCCCTTTCCATCAGAAATCATATTCCAGAACTATACTCCCTGTGAAGTCTATGAGGTTCCACTGGTTTTGAGGAACAACGACAAAGTGAGTATTTTATCTGGGGCAGGTAAACTTTCCAAGACATATGACAAGGGGTTAAGTAAGCTGGGGCTACTGTAGGTTCCTAGATAAGTTCTTTAATTTGATAGACTTAGTATGAAAAAAAATGCCCTTTGGCTGTAAGCTTTATGAACACCAGGTTGTTTTGTTGTTATTACTGTATGTATACTCAATCCCAGGGCAGTGATCAGAAAACTCTGAGCTCCAGACATGAACATTGACTTCTTGACAAGGGATTGATTAGATGAATGGTATGGAGTTCTCATGTCTGACCAATTGAGCTATGTTCATTCTACATTACAGATACCATTTTCCCAACTTGATGTATAAGTTTTACTCATATATTGCAAATCTAAGCATTTATAGCTGTATCCTGTAACACACTTACATTCTGTGAATTATAATTCTAAAAAATTTATTTCTCATCTAAAAATTAAAATCTATTCTCTCTTCTGCCTTTTCCTACCTGTGTCAAATAATCTTGAGATTTTGTCTATGGATAATTTTGCAAGGTTTCTCTCACTGAATATACTTTTTTCTTTGTGATTGCAAATGAGGATTTCTTCTCCAGCCTTATGCCTCTTTCTTCAGAGATAAATTAAGGTTTATCAAAGAAAAGGTATTAAATACCTAGGATTTCCTTGACATCTGGCAACCATGAAAGAAATAATCATATAGAAGTTCTGCACGAAGCACTGTTAAGTGTGAAAAATAATTGTATATGGAGGAAGGCACCCAAAGACACTAAATACTGGATGTAAGGAAAAATAGAAATATTAATAAGAGCCAAAGAATGTGGAGACCATACAATAAGAGTTGGAGAAAATGAGTCTAAGCAGGAAACAAAAGCAAGTGAGAAGACGCACAGTTATATTCGGTATGGCAGCTCATTAAAGAAATCAGTGATGCTCTTCAGAGATCAATAGGGCAATTAGTGATAGAGTCAGACTGGAGAAAATGGCATATTTAGTTTTTGCTGCACTATTGTTAGCAAGAGAAGCTCGTGGGACAGAAAATAAAAGGATAGGGAAGGAGATTTTAAAAATGCAAGATACTTGGGGTTATGTTCCTAGACCTTAAAAAGCAGTACATTATTTAGATATTACAACTTTTCATGTAGGGCTGCCAACCAATTCATTTTCTCACTTCAAATTCTCTTTTCCATTTATTTTCATTCTTTCATAGACATTTTTAGGGTCTTTAAAGACAACACAGAGCTGGTGCATAGGGTCCTCTGGCCAATCCTCCCTATCCCTTAACAAGAAATGATTCTAAGTGAGGCCATATAAATGACTCAAGGGTAAGAGCATGTGGAAGATTTGTCTACCAAAGGACACCCCAGTCTCACTGATAAACCAACACCACTTGATAAGATGCAGCTGGAGTGTGAGGCTAGTGGAAAGAAAGAGGGACCCCATCAAGCTGGCAGAAAGACAGCTTTCTCCAGGATAAGCAGGCTTCTGTTCAAGTGAGTAATACCAGGACCTTGTTGCAAGTGGCTGATGGAAACCTGCTTCCCTATTCTTTATTTCATGGGCTCAAAGGAAGAATGGAAGAGGTTTAGTGAACAGAGAAGGTATACCATTCACCCTTCATTTGCTTCCTCAGGACATGGAGTACAAAACAAAACTGTTTGAACATTATTTCTTTGTCTCATGATCACACCCTGAATGAGAGGAGGCCATGACCACTATAAGCCACAACGTGATGCTGTGCTGGTACAATTATAAGTTCCCAGACTCTCGAGTTACTAGCCAGAGACCTTGAGCAAGTCATCTCACTTATCCAAGCACTACAGTCTTAATTTTCTCATCACTGAGACAAAACCTAACACCCAAAGTTAAAGGAGGAAAGGTTTATTTAGCTTACAGTTTGTAGAGGTTTCAGACCATAATTGGCAGACTCCAAGGGAGGGTGGCATGGCAGAGGGGCATTGCAGAGAAACTGTTCATGGCAGGCAGAAGGCAGCAAGCAACAAACAACAAGCAACAAGAAACAAATTCTGTTCCATTATATCTAGGCTACCTGTCCTTAGCGCACACATGCAGGGTGGAGCACCCTTAATCCTACCCAGAGCTATGCCAAACCAATCAATTGACAAATTTAGTCATCACACATCCTTAACCCCAGCATCACACACTCTAGATCAGTCACTTCTAAAATGCCTCAAGAGGCTTTGGTGGGACATCTAAACACAAGCCATAGCAGAGACAGTATTAGGACCTATGCCATTAATGTTTTGAATATTAAATGAAATAATGTGTTTGGCTGAGTGCTTGTCCAATAGTACACATTAAACCAATATGATTATTAGCATTGTTCATGTTGCTGTTGATTCCCTTTATGGTTTACCAATAGCAATTGTGCCCTTCCTAAATATCCTTTCAGAAAGGTTACCTTGTGTCATAAAATAAATATTGCTGCATAGTCCCCTTACTAGCAAATCAATTTCTGGTCCTGTCAGAGCTGCAGACACCTCTTCCTTCTCTGCACACTCCCTGGCCTTAAACTCTGAGTTCTTTCTGCATTTCTTCTTCCCGTCCCTGACCTGGATTATAGCTTTGAGAGGTTGTGGGTGTCCTTTTCTCATTTTTCACGTGAGTCTTTAAGTCATCCTTTAACTAATTAACTTAGTCATAGTTAACTTTCTTCTGCTTTTTAGAATAAAGTCCTCCCTCATTTTTGTATATAGAACTTTTAGCCCTAAGCACCCCCCTTCTCTTCGTGATTACATTTTTTTAACACACAGGAGATGAAACTGAAGTTGCCTGAGGCTGGTCTGAGGGACATTGTCTTGTTTATGTTCTTTCTTCCTTGTGGTGTGTATTGGGGGGGGCTGATCCAATGGGGAGGCTGGTAGAGTTGGGTGAGGACTTGCCCCCCAGCTGTCCTGCTTTCTGGGGAGTCAAGATGAAGCTCCAAGGCTGTTGGGAGGGTGCAATGGCCCTCATTTCCCGTGTATAGCTTAGAATGGGCACAGTAAGCATGATGCCTTCTCCAAGAACAATTCTCAAGTGTTGGGAAATCCAGCTTAACTCCACTATGTGGGCGAGGCTTTAGCTGATGAAGCAGCCAGTTTATGAAGACTGTCTCATTTAAGTAATAAAATGAGCAAAAGCTTGCAATAATAATAAAATCCACAATATAACAATGTGAATACAAATTAAACTATATGGATGGGGTCTGCGTGAGACAGGTAAACACTGCCATCTGTCTTCACAGTTAAGGAGACTAAAGTTCAAACCTATCTAGGCTCACACATCTAGAAAGTCATTAATGGAGATTTTAGTCTATATGTTTATCTCTAAAACTTGTGATTTTTTCTTCTGCTTTTTCATGTGTCCATCATTCTGTACTTTTTCCTACAGATCCCAAGAATGGTGAAAATTGTTGAGGAAAGTTCACCTTACTTTAAAGTAATCAGCCCCAAAGACATTGGCCACAAAGTAGCTCCAGGAGTGCCATCTGTTTTCCGAGTCCTCTTCACTCCAGAGGAGAACAAGGTAATAGCAGCAATTGATTATATGGCAAGAAATTGATCATATTTTCTACTTGGTGTTAAACACTTATTCAGCTACCAGTGGTGGTATTAGTTCTGGTGTTACTGTGGCTTTGGGTGTTGTGCTGCCGGTATTGGCTTATATTGGTGGTGAGAGGGTTTGGTGTTGGTGGATGATGATATTGGTAGTGATATTTTTGTCATTGATAATAGTTATACTAATATGGTTTTGCTACTGTAATGAAATACCTGAGGGTAGGTAGTCAGAAAGAAAGGTTTTATTTAGATCACCATTTAGGATTCTGAAACATCAAACAGCATAACTTCAACTATGGAAGCTGTCTGTCCCCCTTAGCTGAGTTACTTCATGGTGGATGGCCTGATGGTAAGAGCGCATGGGAAAGCTATAGATGGAATAAGTCGATGTAAATTAAAGTGTGGGGAGGGACCAACCAGGAACAGCCTCCCATTAGGTTCCACTTCTGAAAGGTCCACCGCCTCTCAACATCACTGAACTTAAGACCAAGATTTAAGACATAAACTCTTGGGGGACTGAAAACATACCCAAACCATGGCATAAAAGTTAGTAGTATTGGTGTATTGTGTCATTGTTGATGATGGTATTGGTGAGGGGAGAGATAAGGGTGGGTAAGAGGAGGTAGGAGACCACTGGGAATGAGAAAAGGGTGATCAAACAGTGCTGAGGCATACATGCGCTGTGAGGAGGCAGGATGTAAGGAATGTTAATGTGCTAGACATGGCCCTGCCCCATCTTATCTGTATTTGAGGATGTAAATCGCAGGACACCAAAAAGGAAAAAGTATATAGTCCAGGTGCAGTGAGCTGAGACAAATGATAAAGATCATGGCTCCTTAGAAGTTTGGGACTCTAGTTAGTTGGCTATAGCTTTCCTCCCTAGAGTCTTAACTTGTTTGGAAAAAAGACCCAAAACCCAAATTTTGATCACAGTGTCAGATTTATTCATTGCAAAGATTGTGGTCAGGACATGAGGCCCAAATGGAGTCTTCTGCACCTCAATGTCCTAGGTAAGCAGCTAACCTGCCCTATGGTCCATGGAAGCTAGATCCGAGAGCAGAGACCTTCCTGGTTTACTAACCCCTGTCTGCACACAGGTGGGCTGGAAAGGACCTGAATTCTGCAAGGGGAATCCATTTTCCCTCAGCATCTCCCTTACCTGTAGGATATCGAGCCCATTTTTCAGAATCTCCCTCATAGAATCTGTCCTTCCTCCCAGGAGGGAAGGAGCAAATAAGAGAGACTGATGGTAAAAGCTTCCTCCTTTACTCTACTCTGAGGGGGCAGAAGAGTTAGCCAAGGCTTTTGTGTAAGCCTAAGTAGAGGCTCATGGGGAGGAGAAAAGGGACTTGTCAGCATGACTGATGAGAAAAATGGAAAACAAGACTTAGGTAGAACAGAGTGTCAGCCTGTATATATGTCAACAGCAAGCAAGTTTATCTGGATGGTGCCACCTTGGTCAGAGTCAGTGGAGAACAGGAGTCAGAACTAGCTCTCGGCCCCAACTTCTCTACCTAGGATACTAACCAGCTCCTGTTAATGTCATCACCAGCAGCCCAGTTACCAATAGGATTGTTGCTACTTTTTGTGGAGAGGAAGGGTAGCGAATGACACGCGATCTGCCAAGCATGCACTCACTGTAGTGAGCAGTTAAACATGTATTATAATAACCTCACTGTTATTATGCCTCTTTTTGTTGTTAGTGTTGATTTCTTGGGTCATGTAACTCTAATTTTGGGTTATTGGTAAGACAAATAAAAATAGCTAACTCCAGATGTGGATTTTTTGGTTAGACATTGCTGAACTCCTCATGGTCTTCCCTGGAGCTTTTTATCTGTAAACTGTCTGGAAAAAGAACAGTGTTGATTTCATGTGGGTATCAGCTTCCTACCCTGACATTTCCTTGGGAAACTTATTACAAGACTTTGTATGGATGGCTTGAAATACACTGGATTTGAAGCACTGGTATTCCTTAATTTTTTTTCCCCATGCTGGAGAAAATATGTCTACTATCGGGTAGGTGACATTGTACAGCAGGTGGTCTGGCTGAGGAAGGGCACCTGAGACTTTCTGAGGAGACAGAGCGTTCTTCACTGCGATGGGCGGGTGGATTACGTGACAGCTTCGTTTGTCAAGCCTGTGCATTTGTACTTGCCAATTCAGCTACAAAATTTGTCTTAAAAACTGCTTAACAGTAGAAAAGGGAGTGAGTAGAGGTATAGGTGAAACCAAAATAACAAACAAAATGTTAATAATTGTTGAATTCAGGGATAGGTACATTGGGGCTTGTTATACTATTTTGGTCTTGTTCATATATGTTTAAAATTTTCTTTAATCAGAAGCTAAAGAAAGGAGAGATTTTCTTTCTTTCTTTCTTTTTTTTTTGGAAGCACCAGAGATTGAACTCTCAGTCCCTTGCGCTTGCCAGGCAAGCACTTATTCTACTGAGCCATCTCCCCGGCCCCCAGAAAAGAGAGACTATTGCTGCTTATAATGCTTACATATACTCGAATATTAGTTGAAATGTATTATAGATATATGGACCATGAAGTGTAAAT